CAAGAATAATCTCAGAGAACCCAGTTTTTTTTAATTACAGCTTTAACCACATTCCATCTGTTTTCAACAGGAACAGAATACATGTTTGGGACCCACAACACATCCCTTCACTGCAGTGAAACCAGAGTCAGAATTATTCTCCAGTATTTTCTGGAACAAAATATTTAAAAACTTAAAATTTATTTACTATTTGTTAACATGATGCATTCTACTTTTTAATATATTTTGGCAAACTAGCTGAGAAATCAATTAAACATGAAATATTTTCTGGCTTGAAGATGTCTAAACTCATGGTGGCAAAATGTTGAAGTTTTTCCTAAATATAACTAACTGTACACACGTCAAACCCTTAAAAGAAATTAGTTTTGATTTTGTTGATCATAATTGGTCTTAACCATATGTCTACATTAACACTGTCACCAAGGCAAATGCACATATTTTTCTACCATATTGTCTTAGTATAGTGCAATCCTGAGAACAGAGGACTCAGTATTTCTGGTAAAAATATTTTGAGAATTATGCACAACGAACTACATTATATCCCTTTAGCAAACGCATATAAACGAACTTGGTCAATAACAATTTGAGATTAAACATGACTAAACATACCCCAACGCGGGGGATCGACTTATGCACGAATCATACCGTTCTGACACTGATTTTAAGGGTCAAGTTTGGGGGTCTTCTTATCCATGGGGTCGTCTTATAGACGGTAATATACGGTAATTGAAATTATACCTCCTGTTCAGCTTGGCATTGCCTATAGGCAGAGATTCAGATCACATTGTCTCTTGTTTTGTAAACTAACCCGGAAATACTGTACTTGTGGCATAGTGAGTGAGTATTATGCTGCTTTTAGAAACATCATGGCAGGTGACACCAGAAATGGGCTTCGCACATTCGACCAATGTGGGGAATAGAACATAGTTCTTCAGCATGATGAGCAGACGTCTTAACCACCATCTGGTTACCCCGCCACCATTATTGTAGCAATAAGATAACAGACGCAAGGGATGATAAGGTCTATCATCTCTAACTTTCAAACCGCTGAGAATTATGAATTATTATTTGGTCCATGTTATCAAGCATTGCATACCATGCAGGTTCTTGTCATCTGCTAGAGGTCTCTCTGGTTCAAAAAGGGAATGTTCTGTCAACAGACATATAGGACTGACTGACTGAGTATAGTTTTACACTGCTTTTAGCAATATTCCAGCAATATCACGTAGGGGGACACCAGAAATGGGCTTCACAAATTGTACCAATGTGGGGAATCGAACCCGGGTCTTCGGTGTGACGAGCGAACATATAGGAAGTTATCATAGACCTGCATTTGAAAGGCAAATCCTGAAATACGTCGTCTGCTGGATCTACCCAAGAGCACAGCATGATGTGGCCTAAAATCTGCACCAAATTTGGGAATGAGTTCAAAGGTCAGCAGATGTTTCACAATGAATTTCAGGGATCCAATATCAAGTCAATATATAGCAGCTTTTGTCATCAAAGTTTTACCAGAAATGAGCATGACACAGTCTTTGGTGAAACAAGGTGAAATACAAGAATTTAGGTGTATTGGTTCATCTTCCTAGGTGAACTGGTTTACTCAACAATTTGCTCTGCTATACATTGATACCATTTACGACATAACTTGTATTTTTCTGTCTGTTTTTATGTTTTAGGAAAGATATGGTATTTTCTGTTGGACTGACTGACTGACTGAGTTTTGGTTTTATGCCACTTTTAGCAATATTCCAGCAACATCACGGCGGGGGACACCAGAAATGGGCTTCACACATTGTACCCATGTGGGGATTTGAACCCGGTTTCTCGGCGTGATGGGCCAACGCTTTAACCACTAGGCTACCCCACCACCCCTTTTCTGTTGGAGGTGATTCAGAATTGGCTGGAAGAGGACTGCAGGTAAAATCATAGCTGTCCCACAACCTAAACTCATAAGCATAACGAGGTTTCTCAAAGATGTGAGGTACCAACCATTTCACATTCTGGGAGGCAGCTGTGGGATTATGCCAGGGATTTATTTTGTACACACACTCAACACATTTGTCAGATACAGCTGTCAAAATATACTTTAAAAAAAATTAAAATACACTTTGCAACAATGTAATATTTGTAACAGTACATATTTTACAACAGTTTGAAGCATAATGCTGTACAGCATCTTAGTAATAATTTTCTTCACATTTTGGACAAAATATTATATGGTCTGCCTCAATATTGGATAGTTCTGACATTTAATACTAAAATTAAAAACAAACATACTGCTACATGGAGATTCGTGAACAACACACATTGCCACATCGTCACAATCAATGAAAGCCCAGTAAATTAAAATCCACGACAACAAGAGTGTGAGTTAGCGAGTTTAGTTTTACGCCGCACTCAGCAATATTCCAGCTATATAACGGCAGTCTGTAAATAATCGAGTCTGGACCAGACAATCCAGTAATCAACATCATGAGCATCGATCTGCGCAAATGGGAACCGATGACATTTGTCAACCAAGTCAGCGAGCCTGACCACCCAATCCCGTTAGTCGCCTCTTACGACAAGCATGGGTTAATGAAGGCCAATTCTAACCCAGACCTTCACGGGTCCACGACAACAACATAAAATGCCACAAGGAAGTTGTTGACTCAAATCAATTCTCCATACATCAGGAATGCTTAGTACGAGTATTTCACCAAGGGCAGATCTGGGAATGGTCATCAAAATACTGCAAAACTGAAGTTAAAAGAACAGCCAGTTCTTTCAACATGTGATGGGCTGACGGATTTACTCCGCTCAGATGAGATGAAATAATCACGTTTTCCTTAACTTCTTTTGAGCAGTAGGCATCACTTCACCAGGAGTGAGTTTAGATTTACGCCGCTTTTTAGCAATATTTTTAGTAATTTCACGGCAGGGGACACCAGAAATGGGCTTCACACATTCTACCCTAGTCTGTCTCACAGTCCCTGAACCACATTAATTTCCCTACCGCCAAGCCCTCTCTGCAGTGCTAAAGCCCTAAATAAAGCAAGTCTAGATTTCCTCAGGTTCTGAATCTCTGGTCTCCCTAGGGCTCCTTTTCAATATAAATGGGCTTGTTTGTTACTATCAAAATTATATATATTCAGAGACTAAGCCTCAGTCTAATTGTACCCATGTGGGGAATCAAACCGGGTCTTTGGCATGACGAGTGGATGCTTCAACCACTAGGATACCGCACCACCCCAGCTGGGTCTGGAACTTAGAATTATGGTTTTGGTAACCGTTGGTGAAGTAATAAAAGCAAGAGACTTTATTTGAATGAGATCGGTTGGTTAAGATGTTGGTTAGGGTTAGATGATCAGGGTTTAAGTTTGATGGTTTTGGGTTAAGGTTGGGTTATCTGGATGGAAGACTCTGTACATGTGTAACAGTTTATACAATGTTGGCTGTAAGTACTGATGTTACCTGCCTCCAGTGACATATATCTGAACCAACTACCACATGTGAAACACATACATATACACACACACAGCATTTCATAATGAATTTATGATAAAATCAACATTTTAGCCATCTCTCCTTTCACAATGTATATCTTAGTACAGTGAAGACTTGAGTTAGTGAGTGAGTTTTAGTTTTACGCCACTTTTGGCAATATTTCAAAATTATGGTGGGTGATGCCAGAAATGGGCTTCACACATTGTACCCTTTGAGGAATCGAACCCAGGTCATCAGTGTGATGAGTGAGCGCTTTATCTGCTCGACTACCCCACCACCCCCTTGTTTTAGTGAAATCATTCCATCATTATTAAATTACATAATTAGCAAATGTATATATATGTAGGAAAGATTTACTTCTAAGAACCAGTCCAAGCTAATAACGATTCACTGTAGCTATGGTAACAATGCCTTGACAATACTTTGAACAAAACAATCACTCAACAGTTATACCCAGACCCTCACATTGACATAAGAGTCTGCTAAAAGAGGATTGGTTCGTCAGTTCCTGTAACTTTAAAATTAAAAAATACCTGTCACAGGGTCATTTGACCGTTATGAATGTACAGATAATATTTAATTTCTGAGCCATGCTTTAAGATAATACTGTGCAGCCTGTGACCAGCCACACTACATCAAAGTCTCCAGCTTCAGACACACCTTGGCAAAGACTTTGGAACCTGGTTAGAAAGAAATTCCACATCATACACAGCACCAGGATGTGTTTACGCAACCTTAACAGACAAGGATGCCATCTTTGTTGTTGAAACATCGATACCAACATTCATAATCAACCACACACATAGTTCCAAGGGTTTTCATAGTTTATCACAAATACTTTCACATGTTGCTCTCAGTCGACATACTCCAAGATCTTCCAGTAGAAAACTTCCAGGTCAAGGTCATGTCACTGACCATTCTCAAGGAAGGTCAAGGTCATAATGAATGTGTTCAGTAACGACTGTCTGAAGATCACAGTTTGTTTTCCATTTGGAAATGTGACGTAGTCAGCAAACCACTGCTGTTCTCCAAGAGAACGGGCGATCATCTCACATCATTTCATCCTTTTGTATGCAACGGTTTGCTGGATAAAAAGAAAAGAAGACAATAAATTTAAATGGTATTTTAAAAATGTTTGTAAATGTTACCAGCCTATTAATATATTCATAATTATGTGTAGACTGACCGAAATATAGCATGTTAGAATGGTTTTGCTCTGCTTTAACCAATATTTCAGAAATATCACTAATGGAGGACACCAACATGGGCACCACAGTTACCCATATGGAGAATCACATCAGACTCCTTGGTGCGATGAGAAAACGCTTTAACCACTAGACTAACCACCCATGACAATATAAACTTAGAGGGGTACAGAAAGTACGTGACCTACACTACCAGTGGTTGAGTGGGTTGGATTGCTGACTTTGTATCCTACCATTCAATAACTTTAAGAAGATCAAGGTCCTTAGTCTCGAAAGGCATGACACATGTTCATCTCCACAGCTCGGTCATCTATCACTCACCGGCATTATTCGATCCTTGGTTTCAATGGGTAGAAGAAACGCTGTGACCGCACAAGCAAAGGCAGAGCAAGCCATACAGCCATGTTGCTGCAATGATGGATGCTTCCAGAAGGACTTGTGCTACAAACGGGGTGATCATCGCCCCGAACTCTCGCGCCAGGAGGAAGCCGTGCCGATACCCAGCGTACGTATAGACGTCGGGTACACCTGCAACATGTCACAGCTCTTGAAAACTCGTAGACAGAAACCGCAAATATACACCTCACATCTGAGTGTAAATTTCTGACCCCTCACCTCACATCTGGGTATATATTTTCACCTCACATCTGAGTGTAAATTTCTGACCCACATCACCTCACATCTGGGTATATTTTTCTGACCCCTCACATCTGACCCCTCACATATGGGTATATATTTGTGACCTCTGACCTCACATCTGAATATATATTTCTGACATCAGAGTAAATATTTCTGACCCTCACCTCAGAGTAAATATTTCTGACCCCTCACCTCACATCTGATGAGAATATATTTCATCCCCTACCCTCACATATGAATTCATATTTCTGACCCTTGACCTCACCTCTGATGAGTATATATATATCCAGTTGAAGGTGGCAGCCGAGAATCCTCGGACAGCAAACATGAAGCCGGTGAGGACCCCCCTGGATACAGGGATCTGGAGGAGGATGAAGAACAGTCCACACCCAGATAGGTTAACTGTTCCTGTGATCCTCCGACCGACCCGGTCAATCAGCAGCCAGTTGACTGGTAAACCTTTAACAAATAAATGGTCATTCAATGAATGGTTGCCCTCAAGGGCAAGGCCAATCAGCAGCCAGTCCAACAGTCATTCAATGACTAGTTGACTGGTAGACCTAAAGGGCAAGTTAATTTTACAGCCAATTGACTGGTAGACCTACATTGCAAGAATAATGTATAGTCTCTGAAACTAATTAATTTAGAGAGAAACAAGGTACCACACAAATAAATCTGAAAAGATCCCCAGTGAACTCATTTAGAGCTTTTACATTGCAGAAAGGGTTTGGCATTATTGAAAATATTGTGGTTCAGGGACTGAGCAGACAAAGCAAGTTGAATTAGCCAGTTGACTGGCAAATTAACACCAAATTTGTTGCCAGCTGCTTAAAATTTATATGACATGGTCACTCAACACTCAGCTACATTACATAACATACTATCTCACACAGAGGATTCCATACATACACCCATTTGGAAGTAATATTCCCATTTCCATTTTTTTTAAATCCCACTTTTACAAATCATGACTGACTGACTTAGGTTTTATGCCGCTTTTAGCAATATTGCAGCAATATCACGGCGGGGGACACCAGAAATGGGCTTCACAAATTGTACCCATGTGGGGATTCGAACCCGGGTCTTCGGCGTGACGAGCCAACGCTTTAACCACTAGGCTACCCCACCGCCCCTTTAAAAATCATGATTTTCCTGACATTTAATTGCCAACATAAAAGAACAGGGTCTGAATCCCTGATACATGAACTCTGGTGGGTGTTTACTTACATATGAATTCTCCTAGTGTTGATATAATCATGGTTCTGTAATCATCCGCTGTCAGGTAATTGCACTTACACGCATCATTATCTGAAACAGGCAACAACATTCAATGTTATGGATACAGATCTTGATGTAACTACATCTACAAATCTGTCAATACCAACATGTGAGTGAGTATTGTTTTATGTCAGTCTCATCACTTCCGAGCACACCATTAATAGGCTTCAGTCAGTGAAACCATTTGGAAGTTTGAACAGTGAGTGTGACGACTGAGTATGGTTTTACGCTGCGTTAAGCAATATTCCAGCAATATTACGGCGGGAAACACCAGAAATGGGCTTCACACATTGTACCCATGTCGGGAATCGAACCCGGGTCTTCAGTGTGACGAGCGAATGCTTTAACCACTAGGCTACACCACCACCCTGAACAATAAACCACATTAAAACTCAAGACTTGCTAAAACACTGAAGGTTATATAGTGTATTGAGTTTCGTAGTGATACAAGTGGCCCAGTCATGTAAGATGCACAATTTGCTATGCAGAGTTGCATCCCTTTGGCCCTGAATCTGATGGGTGTGGGTTTGAATCCCAGTTTGACCAGATGGTTTCCTGATCTGTCAGCACCATACCCCTGTTCATGGCTTTCAACAAAGCAATTAACATCAAAGACCTGCAGAACTTGGGTCTTTCCTCCCATGTTGAGTTGACTAGCTGTGATATAACATGACTAGCACCTGTAAGCCTTGCGAGGCACTACTTCCGGTACTAAGCAGGGGTTCAAAATTCCCCTCGCCCGAAGCCGGGACAAGTCAGTTTTCATTTCGGGCAATCAAATAATGGTATCTTACTTGTCCGTGGGCTACTAGATAATTTCCACTTATGGTTTCAAACCGCAAATAAACTTGGATTTAATTTCATATCTGCCCAAAATGTAGCTATTACATTTCGCAATGATAATAAAGTAGAGTTATATTTCTTTGCTATTTATCACTTTTCAATAAATAGTCCAGTAAACATTAACATCAAATACCATGTTGATTTCTTCTTTCATAATTACATCATCATGATTATGTCATAAAATCAGGGCAAGTGGAAAATTAGTCAGGACAAGTTACTTTCTTAAAGTCACTTGCCCTGTGGCAAGTGGCTTTTTTAAAAAAAATTTGAACCCCTGTACTAAGCTGGTTCGTGGCTCCCTCTGTGTGTGTCAACTTGCGATATGTGAGAAGGGGCCCAGCTTACTTCTGGTACCAGACTTCCGGTAACAAGCGTATATTCAAGAACCAGTTCTGGTTCCAAATTAAGCTACCGCCAAATATGACTGTACTAGACCGGATCAAGTCTACAACCATGCTTGGCTGTCACAGCTGTTGACAGCCGCAAACGTTGGCTAATTTGGGGATGGTTAGATTGGATATTTTTTATTCCTGCAAGGATTATCGGTTCCTTACTGTCAACTGACAACCATGAGGCCATTCGAAAAGGTATGAAACATTGTTTGCCACTGGAAGTACGAAACAATGTAAGGTCTCATGAAGTGCTGAGACCTACTTACGGGCCCTATACTGTTCAAAGTGGAGTCAAACCCAATTCACTCTAAAGTATAGTTACATTTTTCACTCTCTACTCGCAGGATCTCAGCACTGGCCAGCACCATGCCGTAGTACGAGAAAGCTGTCCCGAACCAGAGAAACCAAAGCTGCAAGGTTGAGCGGAGGTAGTTCTTGTTGAACAGGTCGGACACCTTCCCTCGTTCTACCTGAAACATGACGATATCATATGCTTATTGATCATGCCCAGTGTGGAATCTGTCTGTGATGTCAAAATCTGTTGTAAACTTTCTCAATAAAGTAAAGATTCTAGAACTTCAGGGCCTAGATTTTCGAAGCTCTCTTAGCGCTAAGATCGTCGTAAGTTAATGTTAATGTATCGCACTTACAACTATCTTAGTGCTAAGAGAGCTTCGAAAATCTAGGCCCAGAAATGGGCTTCACACATTGTACCAATGTGGGGAATGAAACCCAGGTCTTCGGCGTGACGAGCGAACGCTTTTACCGGTAGGCTACCCCACTGCCCCAGAGTCCTATCTGTGATTCGAACCCACACTCTCAAAGTCAGCAATCTAACCCGCTCAGCCACAGTTTACTGTAAATCACGTAATTTTTGCGAGCATGATATTTTTGCGAAAATTACGAATGACTTGAGCTCGCAAAAATATGACGCAATTTGCAATCAACAAATAAAGTGTCTCATTATCTCTTTATTATTCACCAGTTCATAAAATCAACAACAGATCTAGACAATACATCAATAAAGCAACGAGAACAACGTGGGGGGAGACTAATTACTAGCATTACTAGTCCTTACACATCACATGTCAAACAGGGGCGGTGGGGTAGCCTAGTGGTTAAAGCGTTAAAAGACGTAAAAATATGGTACTCCCTGCCTGGCTGCGGTTAATGGGTACAACAAGGACTGGTCGGCTTTGGAGTCACATGGGTACAATGTGTGGGCTAGCTCATTTCTGGTGTCCCCGCGACATACACATACACACACGTATTGCTGGAATATTCAATCTAAAAAATGTGTGAGCTCATTTCTGTGTCCCCCGCCGTGATATTGCTGGAATATTGCTAAAAAGCGGCGTAAAACCATAATCACTCACTCACTCACATGTCAAACAAGGGATACTCAAACAAAAGTTTGTATGGACTATGATAGTCTAGACACCATCCAACGGGCGTGGATATGTTTCATCATACTTATCCAGAGATCAACAGCTTTGGTGATGTCATTGTCTTGCAAGTTTTAAGCTTATCTGCAGCGTGTATTGTTTTTAGAAAACATCACTGATTGCACACACACGGAAGTACTCCACTGAGCTCAGTTCAAGATCAGCTGCAACCTTCAATATGTGATTGGATTTACTTTACGTAGAACTTTCAGTCGCAATTTATTTTTGAGAATTATGCAAGACGCAAAAAAGGTCTGTTTGTTGCCACTCACAAAAATATCGTGACCCAAAAAATTACGTTATTTACAGTATATCAAATATAACATATGTTACATTTGACCACTTTCTAAATGCCATTGTGTATTCATAGCTTCAGCTGTACTTCATGTTGAATTGGTCCCCTTAACATGAGTAGAGACTTGTACATACCTCTACAGCTTCTGTTTGTACTAATCTCCCCTTTGGTAGAGAACTATTGTTTATTTTTGCAGCTCTTTGTAGGGCTGCCAGTGCCTCCTCATGTCGACCTGCGGCAACCAGAAACCTGGCCGACTCAGGAATAAACTAAAACAGAAGAAAACCTACAGAACAATACTTCATAATATAACTGTCTCTAACAGAACAACGCTCATTATGTAAGAGAACAATAGGTCAATATGAGACAACAATACTACCTATGTACATAGAACAATTGTCCATATCAGATAGAACAATACTCCATATGTAACAGAACAATAGGTCAATATCTGATAGAACAATACTCCAAATGTAACAGAACAATTGTCCATATCTGATAGAACAATACTACCTATGTACATAGAACAATTGTCCATATCAGATAGAACAATACTCCATTATACAGATCAATAGGTCAATATCTGATAGAACAATACTACCTATGTAACAGAACAATAGGTCAATATCTGATAGAACAATACTCTCTATGTAATACAACAATGTTTCATATCTGATAGAACAATGCCTCCTTAAGACATGGAACAATACTTCCAAGTATCACAAAATACCTAAATATGAAAGAGAACTCAAAGTGGTAATCATGTAAGATCAGTTGTGATTATCACCAAATTAGCTTGACGCGGAGTTATATAACTGAACATATCTATCATACACTCACTCAGTCACTGTTTGAGCTCTCTACTTACACAGAGCAAGAACAATGCTACAACAATGGGTATAGCAGACAGAACCAGCAACCATCTCCAGCCCAGCGTCGGGATCACCATGGCGGCTAGGAACATCTCGAACATGCTGCCAGATGCCCAGAATATCTGCCGGCACGGAACACTCAGGTCAGTTGGGCATACAGAAAACTCTCAATGGTCATTATAAACACAGGGAAATAACACACATTTTTTGTTTTCTTTGTTGCTTAATTCAACACTCTCCAATTAATATTCACTCTACCAGCATACACCAGTGGTCTGTGAATCATTGAGGTGAGGTGAAATTGGGTTTAACATCGTGCTTGAGAATATTTCGCTCATATGACGACGTGCATGCGTGTGTATGTGTATGTGCGGCTGCTTGTACTAGCCCAGACTGAAGCTGGTTTTTATAGTGATAGCCCACTGAGATACCATGCCGCAGTGAAGCATGAATACCCCACTCAGACACATTATACTGACTCCGAGCCGACCAGTCCTTGTTGTACCCATTAATGCCGAACGCCAGGCAGGGACCAACAAGTACCAATTTTAACGTCTTTTGGTATGACACGGTCGGGGATTGAACCCGCGACCTTCCGCTCTCTGGGCGGACGCTCTAACCACTACACTACGGAGACGGTCGTAAATCATTGAGACTGGATCGGACAATCCAGTGATTGACATCAAGAGCATTGAACTATGCAATTAGGATATAAGGCATGCATCACCAAAGTAGGTGAGCCTGACCAACCGGTCCCTTTTATGACAAGCATGGGTGACTGCAGACCAATTCTAACCCAGATCTTCACAGGTGTACATATAACCCTGGTACAGGTAGAAAGACTAAATGTATAATTTTCTAACATTTGCACGTGAGCACTTCACAGATTGCTGATTGGACAGTGTGAAATATTTAATCTGCTTCTGTCTCTTTGCAAAATACTAAAAGAGGTCAATACCTGTCTTTATGGACCCCAAAACAGCAATATCATTAAAGTCTATATTGCAGTCTACAGATGTCTGTGTAATATTGGACACAGTATGGATATGGTATGGGCACAGTATGGACACACTATGGACATGGTATGGACACAGACAGATCAGGGCCGACACATTGCTGCTTACCTGGCCTGATATCAGTAGTCTGGCTCGATACTTGGACGGGACGTACTCCGCCAGCAAGGCAAACCTGTAACATGGTGGATAACATCAAACTCAGGGCTGAGTGATGATGAATTTCTCACAGTTCTTAGCAATATCCTGAAGTAGAGCCACTTTGTTAAAAGTCTAACCCTTGTAGTAGGTATGTTAGTGGCCCCACTCAGGAGCCAGTAAGTAAACGCCAACTTCTTGGAGCCAAACAATAAACACCTACAACTTGGAGCCTAACACTAAACATCTACCCCTTGGAGCCATATGTTATACACCTACCCATGAAGCCAGCTGCCATATACTAAATACCTAACCCTTGGAGCCATATACTAAATACCTACCCCTTGGAGCCATACACTAAATACCTACCCCTTGGAGCCATACACTTATACCTAACCCTTGGAGCCATACGCTAAATACCTAACCCTTGGAGCCATACAAAATACCTTGGAGCCATACACTTGGAATACACTACCCCCTTGGAGCCATATAGTAAATACCTACCCCTTGGAGCCATACACTAAATACCTACCCCTAATACACTTATACTAACCCTTGGAGCCATAAATACCTAACCCTTGGATACCTAACCCTTTGGAGCCATACACTAAATACCTACCCCTACCACTAATACCTAACCCTTGGAGCCATACACTAATACCTAACCCTTGGAGCCATACACTAAATACCTAACCCTTGGAGCCATACACTAATACCTAACCTTGGACCCCCTTTGGAGCCATACACTAAATACCTACCCCTTGGAGCCATACACTAAATACCTATACCTTGGAGCCATACACTAAATACCTACCCCTTGGAGCCATACACTAAATACCTATGCCTTAGAGCCATATGTTAAAAACCTACCCGTTTTCGAACTGTATGTTAAACATGTACCCATTTCTTTGAGTAAGGGGTGTTAAACGCATCCCTCTTACAGCAAGAATGTAAAACTCTCGCAGGCAGTACATTAAGTACTCAGACTTGGAGCCAGTAGGTTGAAGACATTCCTTTAATGGAGCCACCAAGTACGTACTGGATTCCCTAAGTATGTAACTTCCCCTGATGGAGCCACTCAGCATGTTGACCTAACTTTACCACCCAGTATGATCAATACTTTCCCCTCACTGAGCTACCCTCGTATATAAGTAACTCACCCCTGTGGTGATCCCCCCATTCCAGCGCCGACCAAACTTCTAAGAATGAGGATCCAAGTGTAGTTAGGACTGGCAGAAGTCAACATTCCAAAGTATCCAATCCACACAACTACTATTAACAGAGTCTGTGGAAACAAGCACATGTCTGTTATATCATGTGTCAGTAATGTCATATGTCAGTTATACCATATGTCGATTATATCATATGTCAGTAATATCATGTGTCAGTTAGAATATGTGTCAGTTACATCATGTGTCGGTTATACCATGTGTTGGTTATATATCATGTGTCAGTTATGTATCATGTGTTGGTTATATATCACATGTCAGTTATACCATGTGTTGGTTATATATTATATGTCAGTCATACCATGTGTTGGTTATATATCATATGTCAGTTATACCATGTGTTGGTTATATATCATGTGTCAGTTATATCATGTGTTGGTTATATATATCATATGTCAGTTATACCATGTGTTGGTTATATATCATGTGTCAGTTATACCATGTGTTGGCTATATATCATTTGTCAGTTATACCATGTGTTTGGTTATATATCACATGTCAGTTACGCCATGTGTTGGTTATATATCATGTGTCAGTTATATCATGTGTTGGTTATATATCATGTGTCGGTTATACCACATGTGGTTATATATCACATGTCAGTTATACCATGTGTTGGTTATATATCATATGTCAGTCATACCATGTGTTGGTTATATAACAGTTATACCACGTGTTGGTTATACTATGTGTCAGTTATATCATTGTCAGTTTTACCATGTGTCAGTTGTATTAAGTGTCGGTTATAAAATGTTTGTTATACCATTTGTCCATTATATCATGTGTCGGTTATATAATGTGTTACATAACATAATATCATTTAGCATTCCAATATCTTACCATTTTCCTGCCAATCTTGTCCCCAGACATTCCAAACACCGGTGCCATTATCCCCATACCAAGAAACACCACCTGCAATAAATGAACATTGATTCACAATTCCATACAAAGAATGACCCTACACATAACATATTTTACATGACGTCATATCCCCAAAGGGGCAAAATCTTACATAAGCCAATATTTAATAAATCTATGAGCTTATTAGACAGACAAAAAACGTCACCAGCTTTTGACTGGTTGCCCTATACTTTATTCCCAATATCTAGCTTTTTCATGACAGATATAGTAGTAGAAGAATGAGAATATATTCACAACAAAAAATGTGAAAAATAACTGCAAAGTAGGGATCTGTTATGGCAAAGTAGATCCCAGATTTTTCATAGAACACACATTCAATAGCCTAAAAATAGTAATCTTTATGATAAGGTAATTACAGAACAGTCAGTCATCCCCAAATCATAATTAAACCTCACAACAAGGACAAACTCATTAATGTCACACATAACAGTAACTATGTGTGAATAAAGATTTGAACTGATTTAAAAAATCCCTAACTATTAAAAGGCACCAGTCCACTACTAGACAAACTAAGGTGATAAGCTTGGTGATGAAATACTGTATGGTTTTCAAGATCTGCTCTGGAAGGAGGATTACTGCTGTTTCCAATGTAAGTCAAAGTTGCTGTCATTGAAACTCGAAAAATTATATTTTGAAATATCTCCAACTGGCAAATGGCATCAGCTCACTACTAGACCTATAAAGGTGAAAAGTTTGAAGAAATACTGCACAGGTTTCAACATAAACATGAGATCTTGGACAAAACATGTTGCGGCGGATAAAAACGATGTCTGAATTACCGTTGTGAGCAGTGCCACCTGGTAGTGTTCCAGACTCCATTCACATCTCAAGGCAGGGGACAGAACTGCAAGGAGCAACATTTCCAAGGCATCTGCAGCCTGAAAATAAAACACAAACATATAACAAGATGTGTCTTAGAGTAAATGAAAGGGAGATAACCGATGTACAAAAGGGAGACAACTGATGTACAAAAGGGAGACAACTCATCTACAAAAGGGAGATAGCTCATTTACAACAAGGAGATAACTGATCTACAAAAGGGAGACAACTCATCTACAAAAGGGAGATAACTCATCTACAAAAGGGAGACAGCTCATTTACAACAAGGAGATAACTGATCTACAAAAGGGAGACAACTCACTGTGATGATGCCGCAGACAACAAAGAGTCGTAACTGGAACCAGCCGATGCCAATCGACTCGACGGCCTCTTCCACTGTGAATGTGTCCTTGACTTTGTCTTTCTTCCCATCATCGTCCTGTTCTTCTGTGTACTGCATCTCAAACAGCACCTCGTCATCTGAGTCGGTAAGTCCGTCCTCACACAGAAAGGCCGTTGTCTCCGGGGAAACTGGAGAATAATAATTATAACAATAACAATCATGTGCTGAATCAGGAAGTATTTACGTGCTTTGTCTTGGTTGTTCACTGTGAGAACAAGTGGCCAGGTCTTCTGAAGCTCTGAAATTTATTGTGGAGACTTATCTCTATCATGCAACCCAGGAGTTTTGGTTTGTCAGTACAATTCATCACTGATTTTACCAAACTGGTAAATGTTTAAGACCTGCATCTCTTGGATTTACATTATTCATAAAACTCTGTAAAACTGAAATATAATTCAAACAGTACTTCCAAATGCTGTTCAAAGACTTTATTCAAAATGTTGTTTAAACCCACAATCACTATCAGTTGATCACAACTGGTGATGCTATGTCTGCCAAATCACTTCTATCCATACGGAGTAGGGTCAAGCAGCCTCCTCAGGGCTTGTGGATTTATTTCTCATGCCTACATATTCCATGTCACCATTACAAATAGTGTTGTCATGTGCTCATTTTGTTGAAACTCATTAGCATATTTGAAGTCTAGATGATTAAACAGACTTTGACATTTTATGCCAGGCAGTTAGACAATCAACTCTGATTTACTGACATCATTCTTCAGTTTTGTTTCGCTATGTACTCATTATGTGACATGTATTCATGGCAACTTGTCCACAAGTCCTAATTATCTAATTGTGCATTGACATATGACCTACAATTACATGTAATACATACTGATCAGAATAGTTCAGTCACTTAATATGTCAGTATTGGCAGGGGTTTACCTAGAATTCTATTATGATATGGGTCTTTGGTCCAAGTGATGGTTCCGGTGAAACCCCTTATCTAACTGGCATTCTGGTCTGCTTGGGGGAATTAGCTCAGCAAAGAGTCTGAAATCACATGACCTGTTTACTTTATCAAAGCAGTTCATTAAATCGTCAAGACAATACTTTGTCTTACTGAAAGGTTTGAGTCCTTGAAACCTTAGGCTAGGATTTATCTTGAACATCTGTGAAATTGTGCAGCCATAACTTATACCTTTTTCAATAGTATGTCTGTGAGATGAGTTTTACTACTTTTGACTGCAGTCTTTCTCTAAGCTATTACTGATACATGATGAAACTAATATTCTACATTTATATTTTACTAATATCTGAATCCTAATTTATCGCTTGTAGTGGTTATAATTAATAATTAATTTTCGTAGGAATTATTATTCCATGATAATTCCATCATCTGCGGATCCAGAGGGGGGGTTCAGCCCCCCCCCTTGAAAATGACTTAAGACCACATTGAAGATTTTTTTTGCTTTGGCGGAGCCAATGGGGGGTTTGAACCCCCTGAACCCCTCCCTTTCAAATTTTCCTGGATCCGCCCATGTCCATGTTGATAAATTCATGATATTTCTCGTCCCAAATAGCCACAGACTTTCTGATGTAGCATTAAGCACTCACTCACTCATCTGGGATACTATATAGATATATTCTTGACACTTCTCACAATGGTTACTTACTCACGCACATAACCACTCCCTCACTCACCCAACCACTCACTCACTCACTCACCAACCCACTCAACCACCAAAGCGCGCCCGCTCAACCACCCACTCAACCACACAACCATCCACTCCTCTAGGATGACATACCAAGAGCCCTTGACAGACAAAATTGGAAACAATTGAGTCCTTCATGAAGTCAGGACGTATTGGGTGTATTGATATTTCCTTGATAAGTATATTGATTGTGTGTGCGGCCCTATACAAGTATAAACATTTACAACATATATTCAATTGACAGATGCAAAAAACATCTCAGTAATCATATGTACAAACACCTGCTTCACACTCAATACGTGCCACATTAAAATAATTTGTTTGTTACAGATAAACTGTATGTCCCTTTGTCTTTCTGCATGAGGGTTGGTTGGTTGGTTGGTTGGTTGGTTGGTTGGTTGGTTAATGGTACACTCAACAATATATGGGGGACACCAGAAACAGGCTTCACACCTTGCAGCCATGAGGGGAATCAACCTGGCCTTCGTCATAACGCTTGAACATTGCAGCCACTTAACTATTAAATGGTCCCACAGACAAGAGAAGTAAAAAAGAATCAAATATCATCATCACTTTACTCACTGTCACGCTTAACTACACGTTACAATTTAAAGAGTAATACTTTGTTCCCGCAAAACATAATAAAAAACATTCATTTATCTGTCTGTATATTTCTCTACTTCACTGCAGTTTAAAAATTGCGCTACTCAAGGATGTCAAGAACACATCCTACACTCTGACAACGAAGTTCAGATGAGTTCTTGCCAGACATTAGTTGGTGGATCAGCAAGTAAACTACTGATGTATTCATACACACAGTTGTTGTACAGTTTACTCTTGAAACATCAAATGGATAATGGGTACCCCTAGCCTTCTTCAGTTTCATGGTAGAAATATTTACATTTATCTGACTGTTCCATTTTTAATTGATCAGGAAAATAAAAAACAAACAACATACCAAATAAACAATAACACAAAAAATAACTTACCAAATACTTTCTAAAGATATTCGACGACAAGCCTAAGAGATGAGAGCTGTCTAAGTACACATACATACAGCTAAAGTGTTAAACAGTCTGCAGTGGGCACAGTACCAGGTGCAATTTCAGGTTATTCCACAGCAATGAGTGCAGGCAGCTACAATTACCAACTGATTGCACAACTGATAAACTGCATGCACTACATGCTTATCATCGATGTTAAGTGCTGAGGGAGACAGAGAGAACAGGTGGAAGGGCGTTATTATAGAACTGATGTTAGAGTTTAAGGGCAAAAAGACTATCAAGAAACTGGCTTAACCACATACTCCTCGGGGCGGTGGGGTAGCCTAGTGGTTAAAGAGTTGGCTTGTCAAGACCGAGGTTCGATTCCCCACATCGCTATAATGTGTGAAGCCCATTTCTGGTGTTCCCTGCCGTGATATTGTTGGAATATTGCTAGAAGCGGCATAAAACCATACTCACTCACATACTTGTCATTGTGAGAGAGACACAGAGAACAGGAGGAAGGGTGTTACATTACCACCAGATGTCCCAGTTTGAGGACAAAAAGACTACAGACAAACTGGCTCCACCACATACTCGTACTTTGCTGGAAAATTAAATGTATAAAAAACTATGGACACTAATTTTATTTCAGTTAACAACCATAGTTTGTTACACACATTTCTACTTTTTGTTTGATGTTTAACACTGTACTGAGCAATATTCCAGATATATGGCAGCGGTCTGTAAATAATCAAATCTGGACCAGACAATCCCTGTAATCAACAGCATGAGCATCAATCAATGCAATTGGGATACGATGACATGTGTCAACCAAGTCAGCAAGCATGAGCACCCGATCCAGTTAGTTGCCTCTTAATGACATGCATGAGTTACTGAAGACCTGGATCTTGATGGGTTCAGCATGTTAAGATCCCCTATGCATGGTACAAATTTGAAGTGAGTGGTATCATTTAAGCCTGCTTTGGGATATTATACAAACAGCACTTTTAACCTTTAGCCTTTTCAAAGGAAAGTGTCTATTTCTACTCAATTGAACAAAACTTCTCATCCAGCACAGCACATTAAAGGACATCATTGTACACCAGAACATAAAACAAGGTCAAGGTCAAGGTCAAGGTTATGCCAAAATTTACTCTGTTTGGCATTAGCATTATGGGGATAAAACATAGAATGGCGGCCGGCTCAGAGTCAGTATACTGTGGGTAGCCAGGTTAAAGTTTAATATGACATTTTTCAAAACATTTGAAAAGATGTAAATGAACGTTTATGTAACTTTGATTTCCATGGCTAAAAACAGGACAAATGAACAAAAAAAACATATTCATTTCTTATATGCTTTAAGTCACAGACTCAAGGAATATTAAACGGTGGTCACATTTTCTTCCTAAAGTATGAAAACAAAGCTGACATTGAAAACAAGTTGGACCTCAATTTATTAACAGTAATACTAATGAAATAGTCCCCCCATGAAACGGATGTTTAAAACTGTGAATATTAAACCATGTTGGGATTTGAGGATGAAGCACCCACCCAAACCTGCAACAGTTGTCATAGCCACTTACAAGTTTCAAAATGCTGATATGTTATGATGCTTGAAACAGCCATATTATTATCACTAATCTAAAACTAACAGTTCCAAGTTTCACTTGCCAATTTACATAACCTTGTTTATTGTACTAACATAAATATACTTTATGCATATAACATTCCTGCATATTGATAAGAGACCAATATGTACCACAATTCAGAGCAGCAAAAGGGGTAGCCTAGCAGTTAAAGCGTTCACTCATCACACCGAAGGCTTGAGTTCGATCCCGAACATGGGTACAATGTGTGAAACCTATTTTGTGGTGTAAAACCATACTCACTCACTCACTCGCTCGAATTACTTTAATATCTAAAGCTTGTGTTGCTGGATCTTTATACAAGGCAAGATGACTGTATCTTGCAATTACTTCAGTCATGTGTCCATCATCAGATAACATTTTTCAAAATGTGATAAACCTCCCTCCTTTTTCCAGCGTACATACCCATGAAGGCCCGGTTTAGAATGAACCTTCAGTAACCCACGCTTGTCGTTACAAGAGGCGACTACGGGATCAGGTGGTCTGGCTTGTTGGCTTGGTTGACACATGTCATCGGTTCCCATTTGCGCAGGTCGATGCTCATGCTGTTTATCACTGGATTGTCTGCTCCAGATTTGATTATTTACAGACCGAATATTTTCTCACTCCACTAATTAAGACTGCTCCATTATCAATGTGGCGAGCGCTTTGTCCACCCCTACTCTACTGTCTACCTAGTGGGATGTCTGACTTTTGGGGTGTCTGACTATTGATGTATCACCCATCAGACGAATGATCATCTTATAAAGCCGTCATTCACCTGATGAAGGAGTTATATTACAAATATATTATATATACAGACTCTTTATAAACATTGTAACAACATGTTTCTCCTCTGATCT